CAAAAAATTATGGTTTCCTTTCCTCTAGATCTAAAATTAGTTCCTAATAACATTTCCCATGTAAAATTCGACGGGGAATCCATTTCTGACCCCATAATAGTCAAAATCCAGCTCCTACTACCAGTTTTAAACTTGACAAAACCTATGCACCGTAAAGCCCTAACTTAATGAATTATAATCCAAAACCAAGCTCATGGTTACCTTGACTCCCCGCTATGCTTGGTTCTTAGCTCTTCACTTCTCAATCATGATTAGTCTTCCACTCTTGCTCAAAAATCCTCTTTTCAAGATGCTACAACTATGGATGAGGAGCCCTTGTTGTGAATAATGATTTTTATGAAGTGATTTTGAAGAAAAGTGGTGGAAAAAGCTATAATTTTGCCTTCCTTCTCCCTACCCAACACCCCCCAAGAAAAAAAGAAATTTGAAATTCTCCGTGCAAGAAAGCCGCCCTTCTCTCTTCTCTCCCTAGCCTGACCGAGAATAAGAAAGAAGTGGAGGGAAGATGGTGTCGCATTAAAAGAATGGCTTGGGTTCCATCCATTCCATTTGCCCATTTTCTTTTCTTTAATTTCTTTAGCACTTTCTCTTCAAAATTCTTGACCAAGTTTTATTAATATGTTATGATCAAATTTACTGCCTCCTTTCCGCCTGCCACTCTCACCATTATTCCAATCTCATCGTTCATTATTAACTAATTGTTGCTCATGCAGGTCCGCTCCTCGACATGAAATTTTTGGTTGTCTTATCGAAGACTTGTGTCGTGGAGAGGCGTTTCCCAAACTCATCACCATTGGAGAGAAACTCTGCAAGGGCCTGGACTTTGTGTGCAAGTAAATGCATTAATAATCGTACAGGCGATGTTATATCAGGTTCTCTAGGTTGTGCAGTTTTAACATCAGTCCTCATCTCCCGCCGTGAGACGCCATTATATGTCTTCCTTGTCTGGGCAATCTTGGTTGTTGTTTTCTGTTTGATTCTCTAGTTAAGTCTCATGACATGACTAGCATCTTGTTGTCGTAGAATTTTGTATTCCGTATTTATATTTTCTTGCAAACATGTTTCTTTGATGGAAGCATGAGAAATTTTGTTGTTATATATTTGCCACGATTGTTCCTGGACTATTATTTGCCTTTTTGTCAGGTTATATATTTGCACGATTGTGTCTTTGGACTTTTCATAGTTATTTTTTAGCTAATCAAAATTATTGGCCTTTTCTCTAAAAAAGTATTGCCTTCGCTGTCTTCACTCCTAACTACCACTAGCAAACATACAATAACTTTTTGTCTGTTTAAAACTACAAGTTTTTTTTATAATTAAAACACTATATCAGATTTCATCAGGAGCGTTTACTATTGTAATATTCTTCCCCCCTCTCTCTCTCCCTCTCTCTCCCTCTCTCTCTCTCTATATATATATGTATAGGAGCTGCATCATGTCTATTATTCTTTCTTTTGAATATTGCAAACTTTCAATAAGAGTATCATCTATGTATTTTCATATCCAATTTTTTTTGGAAAAAAATATTTATTTTTTAATTTTTCAAAAAAAATTTAGAGCAAGACACTGGATAATGATATAGATTTAGCTCACATGCATTTCTTTTGTTCATAAACAAAAGGGAAAATTAATCATTTGATCCTTGAACTTTTAACCCAATCGTGACTCAGCCCTTAGACTTTAACTCGTTACAACTCGGTCCTCCAAGTTTCATCCGTTTGATAAATCCAACCCTACCGTTAGGAGAGCAAGGAGAAGCCAGCCCATGTGTCTCAAACGGTGTTAAGAGAGTCAAGCGTTGCCTTCATGACATCTTTGTCAGCACCACTTAGGATTTTGCATCAGCAAGGAGAATCCAAACCTCGCGTTCTCAGACATCGCTTGCTTTCATAATTCACTTGCCATCTCTGATCTTCAACCCAGACTCATCGTTCTTGGTTTGCAGAGTTAATACATTTATTAAATCGACTTAGCCCGACCTTGCTGCCTGCTCCTTCAAAATTTCTTTTACTTATTTTGGCTGACATAAAACGCTTCTTTATCTTCATAGTCCATATAAGAGTGGTGTGTTTCTTCTCATCCTCATCCACAGGTCAAAGTGCATTAAATATGGGAGTACTTATTCTAGCTAGGGCTGTAGCCGTTAAGTTACATGTTAACGAGTTGGGCATCAAGGGAGCATTATTGTTCATCACTTGCAGGATATGTTTAGCTCTATAATAGGAGTCTCCCATTGTTTGTAATGATCAAATAATAAATGGATTCTTTTGGCTTCAAATGCGAAAGAAAACATAAAAAGTGAAGACAATAATAAATGGGCTCCCACGTTCCTAACCCAAGTACCAATACTTCAACTGGGTTTATAATAAAATTCTGCATTTTTATGCATAAGAAATGTACAAAGGAAAGAGTAGAGTAAAAGCATGAGGAGCTTAAGATTTGCAGAGAATAACAATTGGAGGCTTATTTTCACCATGCTCTGTTTTCAAATCAATAAAACAGAGCACTCAACAGTGATATCCTCCCCCCTCCTTCAAATGCCCAACTCACAACCCAAAACGAAACCCACGTTATATTAAATGTGTAGATCGAGAATGACGAGCTTGGGTTGAAGATCTGAGATGGCAAGTGAAGTCTACAGGTTGCAAGCTATGCCTAAGATCGAGAAGAAAGAGGGACAGAGTTAGCTCGTTCCATTCTTTTTTTTTTTTTTTTTTTTTACAATTTCCCTTAACCATTTTGACCTATAACTCCAAGTGGTGCTGACAAGGATGCAATGGATGCAACGTTTAACTCTCTTAATACTGTTTGAGACCCATGGGCTAGCTTCTTCTTGCTTCACTGACGGTAGGGATGGATTCATTAAACGGATGAAAATTGGAGGACCGAGTTGTCACGAGTTGAAGTGTAGGGACTGAGTCGCGATCGAGTTCAAAGTTCAGGGACTAAATGATTAATTTTCCCCAAACAAAATAAATGTTTATGTTTCATGATTTATTTTTTATGTGTGAATTTTACAAAATTGGTGTTACAAGAACCACTGTTCCCAATTATAGCAGAAGTAGAAATGGCATCGGCCCACACAATTGGGCTGACCATTAAGGATCCAAAAGACTTGGATCAGATGCTTGAACGACCAAAGATCTTGAGTCTGCATGCACCCTGGTGACACGTGTGATTAATTTACACCCTAATTTAAGCATTAAGAAGCAACTTTGCTTGGCATCGCCCTGCATCGTCCTCTGTGACAGTGAACTAAGAGACTCCGTTGCCCACTGCGACGGAGAAAAAGAGTGATCCTCGACTTCGTGTCTTGCGAATCGAGGAAGCTGTGAGGTTTGGGTGGAGAAATGGAGGAGGGCAAGGAGGATCCGGATCGTAGGAAGAAGAAGGTTAAGATGGATGGGAGGGAGTTTACTGGTGCTGAATCTTTACCGAGCAGAGAAGAAGACTAGATGGTGCCGGACAGAGTTCGAGATTCTCCAAAATCCTATAGAGAGTCATTGATGCAGAATGTGAGTAGAAGGGTTTGTTGGTGGCAATGGGCAAATAGCGAAGAGGAGGAAGGAGGAAACGGGTATAGTGGGAGTACGAATTTTGATGAAGTGCTGAATCCAAATGATGGAATTGAAGTGGATATTTCAAATCCACTGAGGCCGAATTTTCGTATTAATGAAGAGGAAAAGGAACGCCTATTTCATCCTTTTCAGAAGACCTTGATCGTGAAATATATGGGAAGACAGCCGAATTATGGGTTCATGGTGACAAAGTTGAAGCAAATCTGGGCAAAGAAGGGTGATATGGAGATATTTGATTTGGAAAACTATTTTTTCCTGGTTAGTTTTCAGCTTATGGATGACTACATGGAAGCTCTAATTGAAGGTCCATGGGGCATTATGGATGCTTATTTGAGTGTTGCACGATGGAGACCAGATTTTAATCCAAGGATTGAAAAAATTGATTCGATGGTGGCTTGGGTAAGAATTCCAGAACTACTAGCTCCTTTATTTGATAAAAAATTCTTGTTGAATTTGGGTAATGCCATTGGTAAAGCTATTAGATTGGATATACATACTGCTCAAAGAACCAAAGGTAAATTTGCAAGAATGTGTGTGGAATTAGATTTAACTAAACCTCTAGTTCCTGAATTTGAAGTAGAAGGGCAGATATTATGTGTTGAATATGAGAGTATGAATTTGCTGTGTAAAAAGTGTGGTAGGTATGGGCATTTGAAGGAATACTGTGAAAAGTTCCATAGGCAAGAGAATATGTGTACAAATGAGAAGGATTTGGAAGGAGAGCGTGCAGTTGAGGGTCCTTATGTTGAACAGGACTTGTGGAAAACTATTACTAGGATACGGAGACAGAGAAAAGAAAATATTATAATTCAAGAGCAGCATAAGGGGTCTAGATTTGGTGTGCTTGAGATTAAGGAACCAAAGGAAAATAATATGGTAATGGATGTTGAGGTCAACCAGGGGGTGATGAAAGAAATCACAAATGTAAAGAGTAACTCCTGTTTTGAAAAAAAGGGCCTAATGAAACAGAAGAAAGTGCAAATAAATGAGAACAGAAAGAGTGCAAAAATGGAATTGGAGAGAAGGAAAGAGAAGCAGGAAATTAGATTGATTGAACAGGAGGTTAGGAGGGAGAATATTCTCAAATTAAAAAGTGATGTTCAAAGGACTAAAGGGGTATCAAACAAGAGTGTTATTGAGAAACTGAAAGGATTCTATGAAAGCAATGGGGGTATTTCTATCAAGGAATATGGTGGGCAAGAAGTTGAAATGCTCGATAAAGAAAATGTAGATCCCAGTGATCTAATTGCTAGAAGAGGAGGAAAGGCGGATATTGATCCGGGAGAGATGGCTTGCAAAGAAGAGGAAGAAGATCCGATTGAGTGCTCTAGTACATGTGTTGAAGGAGGAAACCCTCCTAGTATTCTAAAGAATTGATTTGTTGATTTATTGGCTATGATTTCCTGTTGTTGTTTGATTGCCATGAAGTTCTTAATTTGGAACAGCAAGGGTGCAACAAGCAAGGGTTTTGTTGCTGCACTAAAAAGTTTAAAATCTTCATATAGGCTTGATGTTGTGGCTATCCTTGAGCCAAGAGTAAGTGGTGTAGTGGCAGACAGGATAATAAGAAGCTGGGGTTTCAGAAATTCAAGAAGGGTGGAAGCAGAGGGTTTCTCTGGAGGAATATGGTTGTTATGGGATTCAGACGAAGTTCAAGTTGAGAATGTGGTTAAGGATGAGCAATTTATCCACTGTAAAGTTAGAGATGGAGAGGAAGAATGTCTGCTGATAGCTGTATATGGCAGTCCTAATGAGCAGAAAAGACAACATTTATGGGGGAAGTTGAAGATGCTAGTTGACAAAATAAATGAACCTTGGATGGTGGTGGGAGACTTTAATGACATCAAATCTCCATTGGAGCAAAAGGGGGGAGGTAGAGTGAATGAGGCTAGGTGTAGAAGATTTGCAGAATGGATAGGAATGTGAGTTAATTGATATTGATGCTGCTGGACCTTTCTTTACATGGAAAGGGCCTAAGTGGGAAGGACTTGACAGAGTCTATAAGAGGTTAGATAGATGTTTTACCAACTATCAGTGGCAGTGCAAGTTTGTGAATGCAGAAGTAAGAGTAGCACCAAGGATATGTTCTGATCATCACCCAATCTATGTGGACCTTGATCCTGTTTTGTATTCTAATAGTAAGAGGATTTTCTGATTCGAAGCAGCTTGGCAATTAAATGAGTAGTTTCAACCTTTGTTAAATCAATGGTGGAAAAAGGATGATGAAGCTCATAGAAATCTTGTTAGTTTACAAAACAACTTGAAGGTATGGAACAAGGAAGTTTTTGGAAGGATTGAAGGGAGAAAGATAAGGTTGTTAAATAGGCTTTATGGGGTGCAAAATAGTATTGATAGGAGAATAAATCCTTTTTTGTTGCAACTTGAAAGGGATTTAGAGAAGGAGCTAGTAGAGACCTTGAAACAAGAAGAGGTGTTGTGGTTCCAAAAATCAAGAGGGAAATGGATTGAGCAAGGTGATAGGAATACAAAATACTATCATACCAAAACGTTGATAAGAAGAAGAAAAAACAGAATTAGAATGTTGAAGAATAGAAGATGAAAGAGAAATAGTAGGATTGTTTCAAGAGTTCTTTATGAAGCTCTTTGCAGAAGAAAGGTACAACAGACACTGGATAGAGACAAACCATGCATGGGGTAATGTTGAAAAAGAAGAAATGGCCCGTGTGAGCAAGAACTTAATTAGTGAAGAGGTTAAAAAAGCTTTTGTCCAGATGGGAAGCTTTAAGGCTCCAGGAGAAGATGGTTTTCCATCTTTTTTCTATCAACAAAACTGGAATGTTGTGGGGAGCTCAGTGATAAATCTGATGAATGAGTTATGGGAGAAGCCAGAGAGAATACAAGAAATCAATAGCACGTTACTTGTCTTGATTCCAAAAGTTGACAAGCCAGAAAAGGTAAGCCAATTCAGACCAATCTCTTTATGTAATGTGTTGTATAAGGGGTTAACTAAGTTGATTGTTAATAGATTAAAGCCTCTTATGGACAAACTTGTTTCTCCTCACCAAAAAAGCTTTGTACCAAAGAGGAACATTCATGATAATATTGTAATTGCAAAAGAGATGGTGCATTCCATGAATAGAATGAATGGAAAGAAAGGATTTATGGCTGTAAAAATTGACTTAGAAAAGGCTTATGATAGAATGTCATGGGGTTTTATTGAGAAAGTGTTGAAGGAAGTTGGTTTAGATGAACATGTGATAAAGTTGATTATGTGCTGTATTAGAACTTCAATGATGGCCATAATGTGGAATGGAGAGAAAAGGGAGACTTTTAAACCTTCAAGAGGCTTGAGACAAGGGGATCCACTTTCTCCCTATTTGTTTGTGTTGGGAATGGAAAAATTAACACATGATTTTGGATAGTGTTGAGATGGGAGCTTGGCGGGCTGTAAAGGTTGGTAGAAGAGGAATTGATATATCTCACCTCTTATTTGCCGATGATTTGCTTCTTTTCTGTGAGGCAAGTATAGATCAAGCTTGTAACTTGTTAAATATTCTTGAAACGTTTGGTGAAGCTTCAGGACAGAAATTGAATCCTAAAAATACTAGCATTTTCTTCTCAAAAAAATACAGAAAAATGCTTACATAAAGAAATTTGCAGTTTAACGAGTTTTAAAGTAGTTGATGATCTGGGAAGATATCTGGGAGCTTATATCACTAAAGGAAAAACTACTAGACAGAAATTTCAGTTCCTTATAGATAGAATGCAAAGCAAGCTTAGTGGATTTGAACATAATCTTTCTTTAGCCGGCAGACTTACTTTGGTGCAATCTGTCACTAATCAAATGGTTGTTTTTCATATGTAGCATTCCCACATTCGGTGGGTGTGAAGCAAAAATTAGAGAAGATCCAGAGAGATTTTATATGGAACAATAATGAGAACAAAAGGAAATTACATGCAGTGAGTTGGGATGTTTTATGCACTTCAAAGGAGAAAGGAGGTTATAGATTGAAAGATATGACAGTAATGAATGATGCACTCTTGGGAAGGATTAGGTGGAATCTAATTGCAAAACCAGATAATCTGTGCTTAAAGGTTTTAAGTGGAAAATATGGTAGGAGTGTGAATTTAAGAAGGGAATGTGTTGTAAAGACCACAGATTCTGAAATCTAGAAAAATCTTGCTCGCTTATGGCCCCAGTTGACTAGTAGTGTGGTATGGGAAATAAATAATGGAAGGGAAGTGTATTTTTGGAAGGATTTTGGGTTAAGGAGGGCAGAAGACTAATAGACAGATGTAATATATAGTCAAGTGAGGAGCTTTCAAATTGTAAGGCTTGTGAAATGGTTAATGTAGATGGAAATTGGGATTTATTGAAGCTGGAAGGTATGTTGTCTGAGGAGGATATGAGATTAATTCTTGCAGTACCACCACCAAAGAATATATATGGTAATGATGTTGTTAAATGGGGTTCATCACTCCAAAATAAATACGTTGTTGCTGATATGTATAAAAAACTGAAGTAGGAAGGAGGAGTGAAAGATATATTGTGGAACAGAATTTGGCATTGGAAGGGACCTAGAAGAGTACAAGTTTTGTTATGGCTAGCAGCTCATAATCGATTACTCACAAAAGAAAGAAGAAGTAGAATATTGGGAGGAAATGCTAGTTGTTTTAGATGCAGCGAAGAAGAAGAATCTCTTATGCATGTTATGAGAGATTGCTATGTTGCAAGGATGATTTGGGAACGGCTAGGAGAAGAAAACCATAATTCAGAATTTTACTTACTACAAAACCATGATTGGTTTAAATGGAATCTTGGGAGGACGAATAAGAAAGAAGTGATTACTTTTGGGATCACTTGTTGGATGCTATGGAACTAGAGAAATAAATGCTTGTTTGAAGAGGGATTTTTCATGCCAGATTGTCCAGAAATGATGATTGAGCATTATGTTAATGAGATTTTGCTTACAGTTGGGAGGTATGGAGGAATAGGGGAAAGAAGGCAGGAGGTGAATATTAGTTGGGTGACACCAAGAGTGGGTTGGATGAAACTTAATACTGATGGGGCAGCTAGGGGTCAAAACAGATTAGCAAGTTGTGGGGGATTGATTCGAGACTGGAGTGGAAGATGGATCTCAGGTTTTGCAAGGAATCTAGGATCATGTTCTGCCATCAAAGCTAAGATCTGGGGCGTCATTACTGGGCTACAAATGGCTAGGAATGCTAGTATTAAACATTTAATTGCTGAATGTGATTCTATTACTGTTGTTAATATTTTAAATAGAATTAGAGATGATATTGATTTAGATTCTGTTCTGTTAAAAGAGGTTCAATTAGTCTTAGAGAGCTTTGATCAGGTTTATTTTAAGCATGTATACAGGGAAGGAAATGCTTGTGCTGATTGCCTTGCAAATCTTAGCTTTGATTTAGGGGAGGTGTTTACTATTTTTGAGAACCCTCCTCAGAAAGTAAAAGAATATTGTACAGGGATATGGTGGTAATTGCCTTCCCACGAAGGATATTGAAGTAATAAGATGGGCTGGAGCCCCCTTTTTTTTCACCAAAAAAAAAAAAGAAGCAACTTTGCTTGGGAAATTTTCATCCAAAAATAATGTTGTCCCCAGTTTTTTTTTTCGGTTCAAGATTGCACTGAAAATGGTAAAATAATCAAATAACGTTGTCCCTTATCGGTAAAAGTTGTCCCTTACAGTTAAAAATGTTAACAATCAGTGTCAACATTTTAAAAGTTAATGTTGATTTTTTAACATTGTGAGACAATATTGTTACATTTTGAAACTTCTAAAATGACGTTGAATCCCAAAAAGAGTAATTTCAAGACAAATTTATGCTTTAAACTTTAATTCAAATTATATAATTTATGAAAATTTTGTCTCATCCCAATATACTGTTAATATCATGTAAAAACCTGATATAATATTAATTAAATTAGTTAGTTATAATAAATAGATATTATCTTCTTAAAATATCCTCAATAATCATGTTCATTTGAATTAGCTCTTTATGGTAACTCCTTAACATGTGACATCACCATGAAAATTATTTGAGAGCAAAATAAATAAATATTACAGACAAAATGAGTTGAGAGTTTCATATTTAGGATTAAGTTAAATCTCCAACTAATTCTTCTGTTAAGGACACGAGATAATAATACATTTTAAAAAGGGCTCTTGGGTACGGCTGGAGTAAGTTGAAAGGCGATAAGGTTATTTAGGTTATTGAATAGGGATCAAGCATTTTATTACAAGAATAGACTAATAAATGTAAATAATTTGAATGTAAATTTTAATTATTCGCTTAAGGTGACATGTCAGTCAAAGTGTCATTCACTGAAAAGAGAAATTAAACTAAGGTTATTTTAGGGTATAGAAGGTGATTTTTTTTGTTGGCTAAAAAAAGGTGAATTTTTTAAAAACAAGTGTTATTTTAATAAAATCCATGTACCTACATAAAATTTATTGAAAATCACAAATTATGTGTGCCTATATTCCACCTAAGTCATAAAAAATATACAAGACTCCATGGTGCACTATAAAAAAAATTAACTCTCAGCGGCGACCAAAAGTCACCGCTGAAAGTATAAAAATCACCTTTGAAAGTGTCACCACTGGAAAGTCATTACCGTAGCAACCGTGGCTGAAAACTTTCAGTGGTAACAAAAAAAGTCGCCGCTGAAAGACACTTTCAATGGTAACTTTTATAAGTTATAGCAATGACATTTGTGGTCACTAAAAGATACTTTCGACAGTGACCTTCTTGTTGCCACTAAAAGTACTATCAGTGGCGACAAGCTGTTGTTGTCAAAAATAATTTTTAGCGACGACATTTTTTGCCTCCACTGGAAGTATACCCAAGAAAAACTAGCTTTATTGATGCCATGTCATCACCGCCTGCCACCACCTTCTCGCCAGTGATCACCACATCATCACTGTGGCACCACATCATCTCTAGCCACCTCCACATTATCATTAGCCACCTCCATGTCGTTGCCACATCACCGCTCTCATGCCACATCACTCCTCCCTACCACGTCACAGTCCAAATATTTTCACCTTAAATGTATCTTCAAATTCCAAACTTGTGACCGCCTCCTTTCATGTTCAATATTCTTGCCATTGAGCTGGATTGAATTTGTTTATTACTATTGTAAAATAAAATACATATTATTATATTATACCTTCAGCAGTGCATTACAAAGTCGCCACTAAAAGCCTGAGGTTGAATGGAGAACTGAAAGACTTTTAGTGATAATACTAATAGTCCCCACTGAAAGTCAACTTTCAGTGGTAACACTAGAATGTCGCTGCTGAAAATCTACTTTCAGTGATGACCCTAGAAAGTCGCCACTAAAAATGAGCCCTTTAATAGTGATATCACCATCGAAGGTCTTATATTCAGCGGCAACTTTTTGTATCGCCGTTGAAAGGTATACTTTCAACGGCCACTTTTTTTGTCGCTCCTGAAAATCGTCGCCTAAAGTCCTGTTTTTGGTAGTGGTGGCATTCCTTTTGTAATAATTAAGCATACTTAAGAGGTAATTAAAAAAGATTGTAGAGCAGTTGCATACTTTGACCATATACATACACATGGATATTTATTTATTTATAATAGGACAATTATTTATTTATTTTTTCGCCAGCTATAAAAGGACAATTATATTAAAGTAAGCAAAAGGTACATATTTGGGCCCTCCAGAAAGGTACGGCAGGTGATAGAACAAGAGGGCCTAATTGACTTCTTATCTTGAAAAAAGCATAGTTTGAATAGATGTTGTTTAGCCATGAAGCCATGGTTTAGTTTATTAATCAATAAGATGTTCTAGGGAAGATCGCTAAGGGGATTAATGAGCATTAATCATGCACTGGTACAACTAGAGCACAAGCACCTTGTGCATTCTATTATTAATTAAGAATATTCTTATAGCTAAGCTGGGCCTGAGCTTATTGGATTTGAAGGGAAAAAAAAAGGTTATCAGAATAATTATGTCAACAAGCCAACGCTGCTCACTCCTAGCATCCTATGCTATTAATAAATATGTTAATAATTTTTTAAATTATACATATCAACTATAATTATTTTATATTATAAGGTAATTCTACTCAACTCATTCGTCTTGGTAGTTCTATGATTCCACATATCTTTTATGCCATTTGCACAACCATTAAAAAAAAAAAATGGTTTGGTTCATTTCTTTCTCTTTTGTCCATTTTAATTAGAAACAAAATTAATCAGGCTCTATGAGAGAATACGATCCAGGTTGCTCACTATATTGTCAGTGTTTGATTTAGTTTAAATTGGTGCCTAACTACATTGCATATCAGTGATATATAAATTACCATGGTCCTAAGGGGGGAAAAGGCGATATTTCAAATTAAGTGCTATGAATTTGTTCATTTTGCACCTTCTATGTAGTAGGATCCGGAAAGAATTAGAGGAAAGTAAAATAAGGAATTACTTTATATATTGTAATTATTTGGAGAGGATAGAGCTTCGACTCCAATCCTTAAAAGAGAGATGACAGGAACAAGTATAAAGAACAGGACATAAAAGAAGATCTGAAGCAGTCAAACCTTCCCTCACAAACCAAACATAGAAAAAAGGAAAAAGAAGAACTAAACAAGAAAGCCGAGGAAGAAGTAGAAATAAGGAAAGGAAACGAAATAGATGAATAATTAATTAGATGGTGGAATCCAAGGCTAAGATGGTGCTGAGATTCATGGGGTTCATATACTCGCTGGTGCCTGACATGATCTGCTGCACAATCAACTTATTGGCCCTTTCCGAAGGATGAAACGGATCCCAAAACGCGTACGCATCACGGTCTGGGCACAAGCTAGATGCTATGGTGCAAAGTCCTATCCCATTGTACGGTCCTTGACCACAACATGCCACCTTTGATGTCTCAAATCCTGCTTCCACACAACAAGAATTAATCCTCAATTGCTTCATCTCAATTTCCAAAAATAGTAACGTTGTGTTTTTGGAAATACGTACCGAATGCTTGAGGATTATTGATGAAGTCAAGGTGCATCTGCCGAGTGTTGACTCCGATGAATACCTGAGAGCCGAGTTCGCCGTTGAGTTGACCCAACATCTGAACGAGTTGTGGGTTGAATAAGGATGCAGCTCGCTGCAACTCAGCAGCGCATTCCCCATTTCCACTATGTTGCGCCAACTCAGCCGGCACACACCCCAGTGGACCAGTTCCCGTCACCAACACTCTTCGGGCTCCGATATCGTACAGTCTCTGAGATCACAATTTTGTCAAAAAACGGGGGAGGAAAAAAAAAAAAAGAAGGTCAAAGCATGCATGAGATTTAGAAGTAGACCCGTAGGATCTTCTTGTACTCGGAGATCAAATATTTGACGTAATCGGGCAAAGGGAACTGGCGAGATCTGACTGAGAAAGGCACCAAGTAATAGTTATTCACAAAGTCATTGCCTCCAAGAGTGATCAGCACAAGTGCTCTATTCACTAATCGCTTTGTCTTGGTCGCTCCAATCAGAACTCTCACCCTTTGCTGGTATTCTTCGAAGTACTCTAGCTGTCTGGATATTCTGATGATGTTTACCTGCAAAATTTCTTTCCTTTTCATCAGAACTCTTGCTATTCAAATATTAATCTATTTTGCGTCCTATGGTAGGTAAGAAACCGGGTGCTATGCTTCTAAAAAGATCACAACATATATATATATATAATAGTCCAATATACGTACAAATTGGATTCCTGTGTCGTTGAGAATTCCAACGCCAGCAGAAGCAAAGTTGGCACCAACGAGCAATCTCCGTCCTGTGAGCTCGGGGCTTAAATATGGCAGGGTGGCTTCTGACCCAAGTTCTTGACCTGACCAAGCAATTACACTAGTTAATAATAAGCAAGAACAGACGTAAATAAAGACGGTGAAAGCAATTAATAAATTAATTACTGATGAAGTCAGGAATATTGTAGCCATTAGAAAAGCGGCCAGTGGGTCTGCGAGTTGGGTAGTCAATGCCATAAGGAGGAGCGTCGGCACGGGCTGTGGTTGCCAAGTAATTGTTATTGCCGTTGTCCACCAGCGAATCGCCAAACACAAAGAAAGCTCTTGCACCCTCTGCCTTGCTCGCTGCAGCCAACGCCGCGACCAAGCCCAAGATGATCAAAGTCAGAGAGTTAGCCATTTTGGATTGCTAATTAACTTCAGGGAAGAAGAAGCTGAGAGGGATATATAGGTGGCTACTGGACATACAGACCCAGCTCTACGAATAAAAAAAGCCAACTTCTTCGATGCTTCACTTCAGCTATGGCGATTGGTGTTATATAGGTTTATGTTGGAACTACTCATGACGTACCATTCTTTTAATCTGTCCCCACACTTTATATATAGCTAGCCTCGGTTACAGCTGACACTGGAAAAGATGGACTCATTATAGGACTTGGTCCCCTGAAGGTATTATTTAATGTCTGTATTATTATAACCTGATCATTGCACATGAAGATCCAGGATGGACGTTATATTTTAGTTTTTCTTTTAAAAAAAAGGGAAAGAAAGGGCTTAAATATGAAGAATACAACCATCAGAGAGTCGATAGAAATATGAACGCACTTTCTGGCAATCCCCATCACCTATGTTTCATATGTACTTTTTTTTTTTTTTTTTGAAAGAAAGAACATACTACTTGTATGTTGAAAAAGAAACTTTTTTTTTGTATTATATATTTGTACGTCATGTATGGTGATGATGAAGCAAAATTAACTTTCCGCGATATGCTGGCCATGTAAGATTGGGAGCCATCACCAAATTGCGACACTGCTTTCATCTTGTAATTAAGAGCAGCTGCATACAAATATACAAAGTTTTGTTCCATGTGTTATATAAAACTAATTTTTATTATTAAGAAAACAATCGCATGCATTTTAAAATATAATCAGTTTTGACTAAATTTACAGTTTATGACGGGTTAATCTATGTTTATTTGGTATGTATTTCGTTGGTTTTTTTTTTAATTGTGCTGTCAATTTACAATTTTACGCGATAATTTTTTATACATTCACAATTAATACATATATATAAAAAATTTTGAAGATGAACTGTAATATGTGATATTAGCATAAATAATACTATTCCACAAATATTGAAAACTGCTTCTAATGTTTGCCCCATTACACGTGCACCTAATATCCTACACATAACATAAGTTGGGAGTAGAAACGGTTCAACTTGGGCCTCCGAGTGTTAATTTCATTCATACTTTTCTCATCAACTAACTTTACTTGCCATTAATTTCCCCCAAATTCTCGACTTTTGCATCCACCCTGGCTCACAAATAAATACCCTTACATATAATTTTTCACCTACATGGTTGAACTATACGAGATGGGCTTCTAACGTTCTGGTACTACTACAAAATTGAATTAGTTAACGATCTATATATACTTGTCGGTGTATAAATAACCGACAACCATCAATAAAATTGTTACTAATTACAAATTGGTTAACTAAGAAACTACACTACTTGTTTTTGGGATTTTCTTGATTTTAAAGCTAATGGATTAACGAAATGAACAACCCATGGAATGATGTGGCGATGTTATCCTTGCTTAATCGATTGGAAATAACATTGCTCTCATTAATTTCTAATATATTCAGTATACCAGTAATTGAACTAGCATTAATCTAGGCTAATTACGCCATCAATTGATTAAGCTATTAAACCTTCGATCTCATGTTTTCCTAATGTGTTGTCACATTCGCTTTTTAACACCTTTATTTATTGTACATCCAGAAAAATTACATTTCTGGAGAATCGTTAATTAAGATCCATAAATTAGAACTTGCATTTTGATATTTGGTCTACTATTCACTTTGATTTTTAGATTTTTAGTCCAACTTTAATCATTCATAACTAATTAAAGAAATTTTTTTGACATTTCACTAATTAAAAATTTAGAAAGTTTGTTAGCAATAATATAATATTAGAAGAGCTAACATATACCATATATGACAAATTAAGTTAATATTGCGAAACTCTTCTACATGCAAATCTAACTACCCACTACAAGTACTCATCATCTCCAATGTCATTATTGTCATTTTTGATTACATATATGGCTTGAGACTTCATAAAGCTTAATAAGTTACAATAATCAATTTGAAGCAACCTTGAATCCATGAAAGCTCAAAGGTGATTAAAAAAAAGTTCGACATCTTACGACTCACTTGAGCCAAGAGCCATTTAAAATTTTCAAAAAAACAAAACACCATATAAAATTGTCAATATTTCTTATCCTGAAATTATGTAGGTTAAATTTTCTAGAATTTAACGAGTATAACAGTAATATTCTGATAGTACCAATAACTAACTCTTGGATTAAATACCCAAAACCTTCATGTTGATCGGAATGAATCCGCTTATCTGCATAATAAGCATCAATAAAGTTATCAGCAATGAAGGATAGACTTGTTCTTAGTATAAGTTATGCAAGATAATACTAGAACGAGGTAGTAAATTCATATATAACATATGAATAAAAAAATTTACTCGGTCAAGAAAGTAAGATTATGATATGAGAAAGGAGGAGCAAGAAGCTATACACTACTGACCTCAAGAGAGCTGTGATTGATGTGAGCTGAACACGATGCATGATTTCAAGTATGGTGTTGGCGTTATAGTTGAATAAACATAAATTAACAGCCCACAACCTTATAGAGATGTCCTCAAATTAACGGTGATGAATCTGGGAAGCACATTCCAATGAAATCAAATAGTGTTGAGATGAAAACCCCAAAAGCTACATATATGATAGAATTAATTAGAAACATCTTGGTTAATGAGATGGACATCGAGGTTTAAACTGACCTTAAGAGATAAGTAAGCTATGATAGAAAGAAAATAGAGAAACGAATGATAGAAAGATTGAAGGAGGAGTGAGAAGATACACACTGACCTTAAAATAATTAATCACATAATAATAATAATAATAATAATAATAATAATAATAATAATAATAATAATAATAATAATAATAATAATAATATGCCGCTAATGATTAAATGACACCTAGACTAATTAGTAACCCTTGACCTATTATTAAAAAAAGTAAAAAGTACAAAATAAATAGAAAAATTAATAACTTAAACAAATTAAACAAATTCTAGCTGGATTGATCTTCAAGTAATATTTCTTGGGTCTAAACATGCAAGACCATGACCCAACTTATCTTTTCTAAGTGTATATTTGTGTTTTGGGCCTTTAATATATTGGATTGGGGCTTTAAAACACATTGTAGCCTCTTGAATATATGACAGTTATCTTTTGGGTATTCATCAACATGACTAATCTCGTGTGAAGTGACAGAATTGCTCTCCAGGTTTACATTATTTAAGAGTTCTACGATGGATGAAAATGGAAAAGAAGCCATAATCTCAAATGTGGTGATAGGTTAGATTATATATGATTATATGTGAAGTATGAGAACGGTGACCTCATTTAATAAGTTGGAAAGGAAGGAGAAATGGGTGAGACCTGCAAGCGGAAAAATAAAGCTGAATATTGATGCAGCTTTCTGTCAAAATAGTGGAAGGGCAGCTATTGGAATTGTTGGAAGGAATGAGGAAGGAAGTGGAGGCTATACTCCTTTTATGGCAGAAAGCCTTGCTTTAATGGAAACTTGCAAGTGTGCTGAGTTTCTACAGGGTGAATTGGTGACTGTAGAAACTGATTGTGCTGAACTTTTTAACAGAATGAAAAAGGGGCATGTCGAAGGGTATGAATGGCAGAGTACTGAAGTTCTGAAGATGTGTTTGACGATGCAAGGGTCCATGAGGAGTTGGGATTTAGCCTTGGTTTCCAGATCAGGGAACAAAGCTGCTGACTGTTTAGCAGCTAATGTTATGAGAGGTATGGTACCTTTTGGATGGCTTTCTCAGCCACCATCCTCTCCTTGGCATTTGATGCAGATGGATCTTGTTGACTCTTTCGCTGATGTTGAGGTCAGGACAGGAGGTGGCTAATTGCTTTGGGGCTTGGGCTGATCCTCCCCCCCCCCCTCCTGCTTAGGCTTTATTGTTAGTTTGCATTGTTTTGGTGAGTTTTTTTGGTGTGATAGGTTGTATGCTTAGGTTTTTTTGTGAGTGCTTTTCTCTTTTAGGCCTTAAGTGGCTATTGGTGTTTGCACCTTTTCTGTTGTTATTAATAAAATTGACTGTCTTTGCTCCCAAAAAAAAAAAATGATTATGTGTGTATGGTAAGAGCCCTAAACATTGCAGAGCTTGCCTCGAATAGTGATGAATATGGTAAGAGCAGTCTAGTGATAGCAAATAATATTGAGATTATAAACCGAAAAACCGCATGTTGACGAATAAACCTGCATAAGCATAAAATAAAACCTTCAAAAGGGAATTTGCTCAAAAAAAAAAAAAAAAAAAAACCTTCAAAAGGGAAACATAGTCGATGGCTACACAACTGCAGACTAGCTACAAGTAAAACCTCACTTTCTCTAAACACATGTCAACATGTTCCTCTAAAATTCGCTTAGTTAATTAAACAATGTATTGAAGCTGATTAGGAGACAAAACCAGAGGCTTGAGGCAAAATTAGGATAGAAATTAAAGAAAGGAACTTAAACAGCATGAGTAGCAGTAGCAGAGATTAATAAAAGTGAAACTGGCTGATTTGAAGGCTCTAAAGAGAATAGACAGTGATGCAGAAGAAGGCATATATTGAAATTTTGAGCTAGCTGCTTTGTTTCCTCTGAATTCGAGATTAAGAGAAAGCAACAGAAGAAATGAAAGTTGCGAATGATCAGATGGTGAAACAAGAAATATGGGGCTTCTTTGGTTTCTTGTTTTGGAAACAAGTTTTTGCTTTTGAAAACAGAAAAAAAAAACATTCATTTGGTAATTTGTTTTTAATTGATTGTTTTAAAAAGCAAAAAACAGTAACATGTTTTTAAAAACTAAAAAATAAAAACAGCTTTTACTTGTTTTTTTATTCCTGTTTTTGTGTTTCTTATTTTTTTGTTTTGAAAAATTTTAAAAAATCTTTTTTTTCCCTCACCTATTATCCAGCACCTATCACCACCAGCAACAACTATTACCTGTCAAATGTAATTTTTCATGATTTTTTTAAAAAAGTTATTATCCAAACAAATTCTTTTTTTTTTTTTTTTCAAAACTGATTCTAAATCAATCTATAATATTAAATCAAAATCAATTACAAGCCGGCTCATTTTCACCTCCATAATGGCTCTTCACTCAAAATACTGTTCTATGAACAGTACTAGCTTAGGAATAGTAGCGGCTCAGTTTTGGGCTGCGCCTATTTTTAATTTTGTGTATAGTATTTTTTTTTTCCAAGTGCTTTTTTTAAAGTGTCCAGATGGGAGTTTTAAAATTTGAAGTTCCCTCCATTTCAACTCTTTCTCACTCTTTGGGTTCAAAATCTGCAGGATTTCTTTATGATGCTTTTTTGACTTCCTCCCCACGTTATATCCAAAGTTTTAAAGTATAATAAGCAAATAAAAATTAATATTAGAAATGTATATGATGATATAAATATAAGAAGTAAATATAAAATTACTGCATATATATTTACGGTTGGCATTAATATTAACAGTTTTAAATTAAAAATTAATAGATGCAGAAATTACTTGAATTTTAATACGGTTAAAAAATCAATATTTAAATATTTTAATGTTTATAATAATTTCTATCTTTGAAAAAATAACAATATTATAATATAAATATTTTTTGACGTAGTAATATAAATAGTTTTGCTTACCTTTATAATATAGTAAAATTTTCAGATTTTTTTAAATTTGTAAATTTTTGGCTTTTGGAAAAATGAAAAAAAATTAATTATAACATATCCCAAAATTGACTGCCACACGCTTTCTCCCTGCAACACGCTTTCTGTAGTCTTGATAAGTCGTATACTTTTCTCCGTTGCCCTCATTTTTTGCTTCGAGTTTCATCTTTTCGTCATTTTAGCTTTAGTTGTGCTCTTAGCAAGTTCTGACAGGTTGTCACCAGATGTGGACTCCTTCGCTTCCTCTGCCTGGTAAATCGTCTTCTTTCTATTCTTTATTTTTTACTCTCTCCTTTGCGTGTTTCCCATTGTCTTTTCCCATTCCTCTTTTTTCCCCCCTCTTCTCCTCAATTTCCCAGGTGAATCGTTCTTGCAAAACCGTTGTGGGAGCTTGAGTTTGCGGTCTCCGATGCCGACAACCGTTGGGTGAGGGTGGTGATAGATATTGGTAGGACGCTCTCATATAACGGCAAGGAGTGCTTCTGGAGCAGAACCTGCAGGTAGATCCTAGCTTTCTTCATCCTTTCACCTTTCTACATATCCTCTTCAAGTATGCATCACAGTTTTATTTTGTCTTTTTATTTTAATGTATTTTATTGTTCTGTAATGGGTTTTCCTTGCTAAACGAAGGGTTTTTAAAATTCTTCACAAAACAGGCTGAACATTTTTATATTTCATTGTCAAGTGTTCATCATCCATTCTCAAAGCTTACGCTTCTATTACATATTATGTACTATAAAGTCAATTCAAATCCTCCATTGTTTATTTTTAAATACTGGGTTTTAATTCTTTTTCTCGTCTAAGTTATAGTGGGGTAGTCGGGTAGGTTTAGTGGCATATGCTGATGCAGGACTTATTCCTAAAACTACTGGGCTAATTCTCATTTTGTAGTCTCATTAGTGGCCCCCGGAAGGCACACAGATGTTTTCATGAACAACGTCTTTGGTTCAAAGGTAATTATGGCTCAATAGTGCATTCACCCTAATATTGTGCCTTCCAGTATGATTTGTTTTCTGCATTTTTCTGGTACAATTATTTTTTTTCCAATGTCTTGCTTCATTTTTTTATGAGACTATCTAAGTTCATCTATCATATAGGAAGAATAGGATAAGGTGTGTTTTGCTTGGATATTGTGTTGTGAAGCTATAGGTTGAACATCAGCCTTACATTTACTTGCAAAAACTGGTATGGTGATTCAGTTTGCTTTGGTGAAGAGAGATCAAGGTTAACTTTTTTTCTGCTCTCATATCAGCTTTTTCATATTTGTTGTTTTCCTTCTTGATATTCATCCAGTGTTGTTTAATATCATAGAAGGTTGATTTGGTGTTGTATGATGGATGCTATTTTGTTTGGTGGAGGCTTGATATTAATTGTCACGAAGAGTATATACAATTTAATTTGTTAATATCTGCAGTTTTAACAGTGCCTTTGTGGGCTTCATACTTTCAATTTAAGAATAGTGGTGTATTTTTTTTCTCACATGAGACGTCACCCTTACCATAGAGTTTGTTTTTTATTTCCCTCCAAATTGGATTAGTATTAATTTGCTTCCCATCCTTGCTATAGTGCATGGTTCTTGAATTAGACTATTTGGTGTTTTGTTGGAATTTGTTGAGGTGTTCTAAATGTCAAAATCAAACTCACCTCTTGCAACATGTAGGGATTTTGGTATGGAATATGGATTTTGAATCCAATAGTGTACATTATCTAAGTATGAGAATTGCTACTCAATGGAGTATGTGGTTTATCCATTTAATAAACTCTTTTAATGAGCTGTAAGGTTTAAGGTGGTATGTCAAAGAACCAAGAGTTACCAAGGTCAGAGCTCATTTGTGGCATTTTGTTGCTCTTTTTGTGAGCATTATTGTTCTCTTGTATTCTGGACATATTTGTGTTGTTTTGGCCTAATGTAAGTTTGCAGTTAATGTCTCCTTTGTGAAATGTTAGACTGGAACTGGCAGGATCAGTGCTACTTGAGGAAATCGATTTGTTGGGGGTGGAGATGGAAGAATTTCCAAGTTTTTAGTAAACATGATGATACAATATTCTTAATGCATGGACCGATACAGCAATTTTTTTTTTTTGGGGAAAATATAATTTCTCATTATGTCTTTTCATGGTTCTCAGTATTATAATGAATATCTATCTAAGCCCTTGGGACAGATTATTTATGTTAAAAATAATAAGTGCATTTATGTTAAAGAAGCCTGCTCTATACTTTTCAAAAGGAATGAGTTTTGGATGTTCTTGCAATGCTGGTACTGCAGGGGCATATTTGATGTTGTTTCCCAGAGTCTTTATATTTGCAAACATGACTACATAGACAGACACTTCTACTGGAATTTCCTGAGTTGCCTCTTTGAATAAATGTTTATGTCCAAGATTAGGCCAAGGCATTGTTTCCTTTATATTGGAGTCAAGTTTAGGTGACTGAAGCATTGGGTCTATTGATCTTCTTCAAATAGGTCTCAGGAAGAGAGAAGAAAAAGGAGATCCAAAAGTATGAAGCATGAAGGTAGTTAAAATAGCAAGGCCGTTCGGTCTCCTTGATTGTACATAGGCTCAAAGTATATTCATATTCATATCAAGGAACCATAGGTAGCAATAACCATGGTATTGTCTTGAAAGAATCCCTTCAAGGGCTTTGCAAAAGAAAATCACGTCACATTAAAGACATGAATGTTCAAGTGAGTTTGGAGGCATTTGGCAAGTTGAATTGTGCACAGGGTCTTTGACCATTGGGCTATATTTTGTTGCCTTCATGACATTCTTTTGGGGACCAGCAGTAATAATTGGGGAAAAAAAAGGAAAGAAAAAGGTTTTTATAGGTTCTTCCATAAGGAAATGTTGTCTCTGGCTTTGTACATAGCATACCATCCTATATGCAAGACTAATTTACTTTTCATGAAAATGCAAAAAACTTACAAGCAAATAAATGTTAAGCTTTTGCATAAAAATGCAATCTAAAATGCCATTCCAAAATAAAGTTGTTTGGGGAAAAATTTTGAAATTATCAAGTTTTTGGCCAAAAAAAAAAAAGACCATGCACCAATTTATAAGCATATGAGGTTGGAAAAGAGATACTTTGATTTATCGTTGGTATTAAAAAAAAAAAAAAGGTCTGTTTGGATTAATGATAAAAAAATAGTTTATTTTTAATTTAATTTTTAAAAAAGTAAAATTGGGTAATGTGATTTGTGTTTGGATTAGTTTTTATAAAAGTTTATTGGTAAAGTTAAAAAGTTATTGGATTATAATTGAATAAGTTTAGTTTTATAGAATGACTAAAATGGGTATGATTTTTATTAAATAATAAAAAATGATTAAAAATATGAATTTACAAAATATAATAATTTTAAATTATTATCATAAAAAAATTTATATTTAATGAATAAAATATATTTAAATTAGAAATGTGAAAATTTTTTAACTAAATAATATTATATAATTAATTGGATAATATAGTCTACATAATTTATGTAAATACAAAGTAAAAAATAATATTAAAAATTAGAAATAAAAAATAAATAACTAAAAACTGATTGAGAAGTACAAAAAATATATAGATAGAGGCATAAGAACAACATAAATATAAAGATAAAAATATCTTTTGATTCCAAAAAAGTGATTTTGTATAAGTCATAAGTAAGTTTTAAATACTTTTATAATTGTGTTTAAAAAGGTAGCTTTTGATCTATAAGTTAGATTAGTCAAAAGTTATGATAAGTAACTTTCAAATTTACAAACTAACTTATCATATTTATAAGCTATTTTTTCCTCTTCAAAACGCCTTACCACCAAACAAGCTGAAAATTTGGCTTGCGCCAAAGTCACAATTTTTACGGTATGTACTACTTATAGACAGAGGAGGCAATTTCAATATCATTATTTATATATGGATGTGTGTTATTATGTGTTGATACTTTTGTGATAAATTAATATTATTGATTATATTGATTGAAGTGAACTCTTCCCGTGCATCGCACGGGGGTATATATGCTAGTTAGTTTTTATAAGTTAATTTTAACTTTTGTTTTTATAAAAATAATGCACGCACGCGTGCTTGCTTGTCACATACTCATTTTTATTGCAGAACTTTAACGATACATCTCCAGTATCATACTGGGCCTGGTACCCGTTTACGTGTCGATGTGAGAAAAGAGAAGTGGTAAAAAAGACAAGAACATCAAGCATGAACATGGAAAACTATTAGCAGAAATTCAATCCAAAAGTTATTATATAGTTCTAGATTAAAAAAAACTTTTAAATTCATATTTCTATAATTATCTTTCAACACACCGAATGGTTAAATAGAAAAAATCAAAATTACTCCTTTTGTCCAAATTAAAAGATAAAGATCAAATTGCTTTATCTGAATAAGTTTTCAGAGAGTTAAAACTAAAACAATTATGAAATAAGCAAAGAATCACAGCAAAGTAGCTCTCTGGACAAATATGTATTAAACTACTATATAAAAATGATTAAATATTATGAGCTCTATCTCTTAAAACTGCCTCGGATCTGCCAATAAAAAATTCTGTGGGATTGGGTCAGCTTAAGAAAAGAAGAGAAAAGCGCCAGGGATAAAAAAATCTCATGCCGTACTCATTTCATTGGAAATGTGCAACGAGCAAATTAAATACATCGTCTCACCAAATCTTAAAAAAAAAAAAATAGATGTTGAAGTTTTGAAATGAAAAATTATATATACTGCCTCCGATTATTAATATAAAAACTAATTCGACATACGATTTAATTTTAAATAAAAGATTTCATTTCATTTTATCTCTCATATTTATCGATTTTTTTCAAGTTAGTCCTTGTAACAGTTACACGTGTTAAAAGCTTCATCAAATGATAATTCTAACTAATACACATGATTAACAATGGTATTTTAAAGAAGATAACACCTATTTATTGTAAATAATTAACTTAACTAATTTTCTTAATATATTTAAATTAGTCAACCAACTCTTATATTAAGGACAAGTAATATAATATATATATATATATATATATATATATATCTCAATTAGAGGGGTGTGGTCAAAGTAATGTCGCAAGCTTGCTCCCAATCTTGACATGGAAAATGTCAATACTCCATGTAATATATTTTATTTGTCAAATCTGGCTCCAAATGGGTTTACGAGGGTTCCAAGCAGCATCCTTGCTAGTCCGAACTCCCTGCCAATGTCGCAAGAAACTTCCTTTTAGTTAGCCTAAAAAGATAAAGGGTCAACATGACGCAATGTCCCACGAATGTTGCCAGTGTACGTAAGGTCAGCAATATTTCTAAAACTTCTTTTCGTTTAATCTCGATCGTTACTTGCACTAATACAAATTTATTTATAAATAAGTTCCATAAATTTGATAAGTTGCTGAATTTATACGTTAAATTCATTAGGGCGTTTTAGCGATTTTCACAATAATAACCCACCTTCAGCTTACGAGTTATTTAATAAAATAAAACTACGTCCACGTAGCATTTCGAGGGGTGGTAAGTTTTTTTTTTTTTTTTTAAAGAGAAATCTGAACCGCTGGTGATATTTGTTATAGATCTTTCATTTCAAATAATAGATATGTTGTCGTTTCGAAGCAACTTTATTTGCAGTTCCACAGGAGTTTCGAGCGTATTTTGTCGTCTTCTCTCTCAACCATTTTAAGTTACAAAACAGAATAATCATTAATCATAAACCTGAAGGCTGAAGCTATATGGTTGGAAGTTCGTCGTCAATGGATGTTAAAGAAAATAATATCATGCAAATTTCATTATAACATGAAATAAAATTTTTTTTTGAAGTATTGTTGCTGTATACCATTTCATCGGACTTCGTGAGCTTATTATGTGTGTTTCTAATCATGTCACGTTTAGTGTTTAATAACGTCTCGAATAAGCCTCTAATAAAAGAATAT